TCTTCAAACTCTAAATTGAAATTAAAAGTGAAGTACTACTCCCAAAGACATTGCTCAAAGCTACCAATACCTCAAATCAGCAACTCAAAAATGATCTAATAAAAAATAGAGACCAACTTTTTTTTTTTTTTTGCGCCGAATGCCTTCAAGGCATGACTGGCTGTTTGTGTTGTGGGGATCGAACCACAGCAACCTGAGCCTGACTGCTTTGTTGAAGCAGCCACTTAAAGAACTGAGCTAAGGGGCAGGCCCCCATAAGGTTTTTTTTTTTTGCTCCGAATGCCCTCAGGGGTGGTGTGGCAGGCTGGAGTGTTGTGGGGATCGAACTACAGCATCCTGAGGTATTTTTTTAATTTTTTAAAAAGTCTTTCAATCAGTATGATCATTTTACAAAACTCTTGAATCATATATTGGAGTCAACACGGATACCGGAGTGAGGAAGGGAGCTAATTGTTGAAAACTTTTAAATTTATTTTTAGCTCATTTAATTCTTACATGAATCTAAAAATCCATGGAAATTGCTTCTTTGATCTGTAAGATCAGGAAAATAATAGCAGTTCATTGGGTTATTGTGAGAATTATTGAGTAAAACAGATTGGCTGCTACAAAGCAGTGTCAGGTACGCAGTCAACACACAGTAAGCATCGATTCCCAAAGTGCCTCGCCTATGGCTCGAACACACCTGTTGAGGTTTATTTTTCTTTAATAACAATAGAATGTCTAGGCTCTCATCAAACAGTTCTATCTGAACTATTTGAATAAGTTCTATTTGCACTTCTTTCATAAATCTGCCTATTTGTATAAATGTATACACGTTGAATGATGTACAGGACTTAATGCTTGATAGTAGTAGCACATAGTTACTTTACTGGTTTATGCATTTTGTATACTGTACTTTTGGTTACTATCTTAGAGTGTTCTTTCTACTTAAAGTTTACTGTAAAACAGTGTGCTGCATTGCACCGGCAGTGTCCTAGGATGTCTTGTGTTTACTACATCTGTTGATTTGCATCCAGACCAAGTTAATTGGTCTTGGTCTCTCAGGTTGTGTACGTCCATTCCATGATCACAGGGACAGAATTACCTAACATTTCTCAGAACATATTCCTATCCTTATGCCACACATCCAAGGTCTTTCTTCAGCGCTACTATTATGTAATGTTGTGGGACCAATCTTGCCTGTTGTTGTATCCGGATCTTACTTACCAGGATTGTTTATTTACTTTTCTAATTAAAAGACTTATTAGCTGCTATAACTCCTCATACTATGCATGCTAGCAACAAAAATCATTGTCTCTATGGTTAATTTTTAAAAATCAGATTACTAATCAGAGATGCTTGAGTTCTTCAGACCAGTTGGAAACAGACGGATGCTGGTGCCATTACTGCCTTGCAAAGACCATGACTCTCTTTTCTAGATTCTTATTTTACACCACATTTATTTGCAATTTGGCACCATTCATTGCTCAAGTTGACTGTTTTATATTGTGGGGCTCTTCTCCTGCCTGGTTACTAGCATTCATTTCTAGTGTGCAATGAAAGTATAACTGAGCCAATGCTCTCTTCTCTGAGCCATGGTTTCCTTGTCCATAAAAAGTATATAGGGCCAGGGAGATGGCTCAGTGGCACAAGCGCCTGCCTGGCAAATGCAAGGTCCCGAGTTTAATTCCTGGTGCCAAACCAAACCAAACCAAACCAAACCAAACCAATAAACCTTTAAAAAGGAGGACTGCAACAGGGATGTGTAAAGTGTCCTTATTACGCACTAGGGTTCCTGTCCTAGTGTAAGTGCTGAAGCCATGCATATCAGCTTTTATTGGTATATTTTTCTTTGTACTAATCTTTTCTCACTAACACTTTTAGTTCCAAATCAAAGGTAGCCCCATAACTGTCATAGCCACACAAGCTATCAGGGACAACTATTACCTCATTCCCATTTCCATAATGTCCTTCTAATCCAACCACATGGCTCTTCCATCTTCACTTTTCATTCCTTTCTTGTCAACATTTGCTATACACACCATGCCCATCTTTCTCTCTGGCTAGATGGCATCCCAGTGTGTGGCTATAGTATGGCTTGTGGTGTTGGTCCTAACTAGCCTGAATATTTTTCTAAAAGAGAATCATGGCACATAGAGTATCTCTTACTTAAAATACTTGGGACCAGAGGTGTTTTGGATTTGATATCCTCAAGCCCCAGATTTTGGAATAGTTGCATATATATATAGTGAGACAGCTTGAGGATAAACACAATATTCATTACACTTCACATACACATAGCCTGAAGGTGATTCTATTCTATACAATATTTTCAATATAGTTGTATTTACCAAGAATCAAACTCATCACACTGAGTTTGCCAGGCAGGCACTTGTGCCACAGAGCTACATCACTGGCTCAGCATCCCTGTATTTAGATTATGGTCCTCACATGAGGCCAGGTGTGGAATTTTCCACTGTGGTAGAGAGTTAATGCTCAAAAAGTTTCAAGTTTTGGAACATTTTGGATTTTTGCATTAGGAAGGTTCATCTTCTATAATACCACCAGTTACAAGTAGGTGCTTAAATGTAGTTTTGAGTTTTGGATTTTCAGAATTTATCTCGTGGGAATTTGGATCTGGTTTGTGGTTGTGTCCTTCTAGAAAGGGTTTTTTCTTTATTTTTGTTAACCAGCCTGGGGTCCCCTTTTACATTTTTTCAGCCTGCATTATTTGGATAGTGTGAATTCTAACCCTCAGGCCAGGTCAGGGTAGACTTGTACTTCTAAGTTTTAGGTATCTTTGAAGTGAGACTACTAGAGGAATAGGAACCGATGGGGAATAAAAGTGTGGTTTTAAACTCCTGGATTTAATAGCTTATCTCGATTGTGACATTGTTCTAAGGCTCAAGTGCGATCTAGGATGTGTGACTCCAGGTCATCACACCTTTGAGTCCAGAGGAGGGGTAGCAAAAGGTGTGCTGCTTCTATGTGCAGGGACAGAAATGGAAGCTGGAAGCCTAGGAGAACTCTGAGACCAAGAGTGGGTCGTTCTCCTGTCTTTCCATGAAGAGAGAAGATGATGATCTCTCCCAAGAGGAAGGCAGGCAGTCGTCAGCTCCAGGTCCCTGCCCAGCTCCCTGGGCCCATCTCCAGGCCCCTCTTTTCTATCTGTGCCTCTTTTCTATTAAGAGTTGCAGAGTACTTTTATACCCAGTAGCTGCTTTTTCAAAAGTTGTGTGAGGAAAGCAAAGTGGATACTCTGAGACACTGGGGTTCGCCCCCCGGAGCTGCGCCGTTTTACTGGTGTGCTGCGGTTCCTGACTCAGGTTCTTTGTCATCTTAGGCTTTGGGTCAGAGGGTTGCTTAAAACACTGATAATGTCTATCACCCTGGATTCTTTGTTTTTATTGGGTGAAATGTACATGGCCCATGATTTTTTAAAGTGAACAATTCAGTGGCATTGCGTGCGTTCACAGTGATGTGAATCACTATGTCTACTTCCAAAACTTCCATTGTTTTCTGCCCAAGCTTCTGTGAAGAGCAAGAGAGAGACTCGGTATGAGGCATCCAGGGCATGGCCTCAGCCCCAGTAGGAGCTCAAGAACAATACAGGCTCAGCCTGTATTTTTAGACTCTCTCTAGCTTTCTTTCAGAGACCTAATGTATAACTAAGAATTATTGCCTAAATTTAGCACCTGAGAAAATCAGGTTGCGGGCACATGACATACTCTTTTCCCTCCTAAAATAACACATCAAAATTGCCCCTTTCCAGAGACATTTTTCCTAAGTTTCTAAAATGGCCAGAAACATCTACCTATGGACGCTCCAGGACTTAATTGCATGCTGTCATAGAGCCTCTTATTTTTACAGTTTGTGTTCTTGGTCAGGCTGTGACACCACAGTCTTAGAGATTCCACTCTACTCCCCATTGTCCTGGACACAAAACAAAACAAGCGGTGAACAAGTATGTGTTGGATAGATTCCTATAGTGGCCAGCCAGCTCCCAAAGTCTAGCTACTACCTGGTGACCAGCATTTTTATAACTTCTAAAATGGTGGTTTTGGCAAGAAAGGGTTCTTTTATGTTGGTGTTGAGATGGGGCTGGACAGGGCCAGCCCAGGCTCTGGCCTGACTCCCTTAGGCAACTGTGCCCAAGACAGGACTGAAGAAGCCTGGGCTCCCACACCTATGTGGTCAGCAGGAGGAGCGTGAGGGCTGCAAGCAGGCTAAGCTGAAAGCATAATGGCTTTGGTCTTTATTAAATTTGCAGTGCCAAGAACAGGGCCTGAAAGAAGCCCATGGGCCCAGCAGTCATGATGGCCCCTATGGCTTCCCTTGTCATGGAGGGTTGAAGCTGGTGGCCAGAGCTGCTGCTGTAGGGGGCTGGTGAGGGGTGTAGCTGGGTAAGGAGGGTGAGGATCTCCTCCTGAGGCCTAGAAGCCAACAACATGCAGGTTTGCTGGGGGAGCTTTCTTCTGGTGACATCTACGGTGTCTCCAAATGCTCATGATGAGGATGCCGAGTAGAAAGCCACCTATTGCTGCCACTGGCACAGCCCCATGGAATGTAGCAGAGGCTTCTGCAGTCTGGTCTGGGAATACCCAACTATTCCGAAGGGTGTAGAGATAAGGACTCCCCTGCAAAGGAGGATAGGAGGGTCAGAGGATAGGGGTAAAACTTATCCACTTGTCTCTGTGTACTCAGCCCCCAGCCCTGGTCAGCACAATAATCTTGCAATTTTCCATAGCCCTTGTTTATAAAGGTCCACCATTTACACTGTGCAGGAAGCTTTTCCACAAGGAAGGGTCTCTTTGGTGGTCAACCCTATCCATAACCTCCCTTATCTTCTTCCTAGCATCTCCTTTCCTATCAAATCTGTTTTTGAAAGATTAGAGATAGGTGCCAATCATGAGAGTCATGGTGGCAGCTGGTAGAGCTCCCACTGTGTCTTCCAGATCACTACTATTCCTGCCTTCTACCCCAGGATTGCCAGGAATCCTGGGGAGGTCACTGCAGGACAGCTGGTTCTGCAGTGGGTTAAAGCAACACAGGGCCAGCCAGGGAGGCATCTGGGTCTGCCTTCCAGGTCCTTTCTTCCTTCTTTTCCCCTCTACTTTCTCTGTCTCAGTGTACACTAATTGAGTGCCTCCTGGGTAGATCCATGAACCAGGAGCTGAGCTGAGCATCTGAGGGTCAGAACAGCATATCTGCTATCACTGCCCAACAGGGAAGTGAGATGCACACAGAATGAAACACAAAGGAGAATGTATAAAAGCAGAGAAGGGAGATCAACACAGGGGTCCTTCTGGGGCAGGAACGGTAGAGTAAGACAGGGTGGGATCAACCCAGAGATAGTGCCATCTGGGCTCAGAAGGAGTAAACATCTCCCCAAGCACAGAGGGGAGGTGAGCCACTAGGAGCAGATGGCAGAAGGGAAAACACAGATGGAATCCAGGGGTGCATCTGGGAAGTGGGTCCATTTGCCAGGAGTGTAGAGTATATAACAGAGGGCGTGGGCTTCCTCTCTGGCCTCCTCCAGACCTGGGCAGTGGGGCCCAGGCAAGGATTTCAACAGCCTGGTTTGGCTGGGGTTACCTCCTAGGAAGCAAACTTAGAAAAGGGGGAGAGGACAGCTGGAGAGACAGAGTATGGTCCCACGGAGGGAAGTAGGCATGGAGAGGGAGAATGAGGACTGGTCTTCAGGAAGAGACACCGCATCTTTGTTTTAGAGACTCCACATACTTCTCCACATACTTTGTTTTGGAGACCCCACATACTTCTTCATCCAGCTCCACTTCTAGTGCCTGCAGAGCTCCTCCATGTGTGTTTAAGACCCAGGATGCTCAGGCCTCTCACTACAGTAAGGGGCAGCTCCAGGCACTAGGGCAGCACTCACTAGCTGCCTCCCTCTGTGACTTCCTCACATCTTCCCTACTCAATGGCTACCCAACCCCAAGAAGCTGGAGCATTCTAGTGACAATGAGAAGAGGGGGAGAGTGCAGTAGGATGATGGTGAGTGACAGTGTTCAGAGACCTACAGGGGCTCCTCTGTGCCTCAGGAGGAGGAGCTTCACTTTCCCTGACCAGCAGGGTGTTACTCACAGGCGAGGGACACTTGAGTTTGGCTCGGCTGTAGGTAAAGTTGTTGAAGGTTGTCTTATGGCCCACTGGTTCCAGCTGGAGACAAAAAAAAAAAAAAAACACCTTAATTCCCTCCCTTTCATAGCGTAGGGTGGAACCAGAACATGGCAACACCTATGGCAAAAGCCAGCAACTCTGGGCCAGACTGGAAGTGGCTTCTGGTTCAGAGTGATGAGTTTGAGTTTCCAGAGCAGGAAAGGACCCTGCGTCGATGCCCCAGGATTCACCCGGGAAGACACCGAGGACCAGGAGACAACGACCAGCTCAGAGTCCACAGCACATTCTGAAAAGACTGAGACCACAACATCCATCTCCTGGCTCCTTCTGTGGGAGGCTATGATTGTGGACACCGTATTTTCAATTTTCTAAAATGGTGATGATCGTATTTACCAACTTTTCCAAGTGCGTGGGGCTAGTCAGTTTCAGGACAACTTTGAAAACATATTGGTTACCATGACATTCTTACTGCACTTGGCTTGACAATCTTAAGAGACTGGAATTTTCTGACGAGCTGCTTTATGTGTCTATTCCCACAGATGAAAGGATTTACTTGAAATATCCCTGGAACTAGTTGTGCTTCACTGGGGGTTCTGCTGAATGCTTTCCATCTGAGGAGCCTCCGAGAAGGAGCTGAAAGCTCCTTAAAACAGCACCTTGAGCCAGTGGCCTGCCCCTGCCCCATGGCCTGCCTGGGGAAGAACAGGCTCGGCACTTTCACCGGGGTGCTGACTCTGTCCAGAGTGTCTGTTTCCTGCCTCATCCTGATGGCCAGAGTGGAGGTGAAGGTACTCTGTCCGAACTGGTGACCACACCCGGCCCATGACCTCACTTTCTGTTGTCTTAAGGCCTCTTGCAGTAGTTCCTGAGTAACACAATTAGAGGAGGAAGGGCGACTTTCGGCCTGGGAGAGACGCCACGGTGACTCAGCTGAGCACAGTGGGCAGATGACCAGGTCCTGCCAGCAATGACCTCGCAGGGCCACACAGGCTACTTAACATCCCCAAGGTTAGGAACAGGTGCTGTAATGCTGTTCCAAAGGCTCCAGGAACGGTTATTGTGAGCATCAGATAAGAAGGGGGCAGGAAAGCACGTGTGAGCTAGGGCTAGCTTACATACGTAAGACAGCGTCATTTCCACGTTCACAGAGCTGCGGAAATGCACTCGTGTTCTAGCATAGTAGAACCACCCAGGGCTGACTGGTGGCTAAAGATCAGACTAGTATATTCTTAGGAATACCCTGGGAATTAACTGGCACAGAGGAGGGCTGTGATCCGATGGGTTGGTGAGCACAGCAGTTCCTCCGTTGTTGCTGGCCCCTTCCCACTGGCTCCCATCCATTGGGCCATTGTCCCATTCTTGCCTCACGCCCCCTCTACTGTCTTGGCTGTTGCTCTCTCTTGACTTCTTGAGAGTTTCCTGTAGTCCTCACCTGCCCTGTGCACCCTTCACCTCTCCTGCCCCTTTCAATTGGTCTGCAGCGTCTGTTGCTTAATGGCAGCCGATGTCACCAAGGACCTCTGTGTGGCCAGATGTTTTCAGCAGTGCTTGTCAAAAATGACTCCTCCCTTGAAACACTCAACACTCTAGGACCCTGGAGAACTCCTCTACTCTCTTCCTTTCCCTTCATCAAAAGGTGGAATGCACATCCATGGGTTTGCCAGTTGATGCCACACTCTTCTACTTGTTCTTCTCAGGGAGTTTTTGGTTAATCCCATGGGCATGATTATTTTTGTGTTTTAATTTTTAGTTTTCACATATGAGAGAAAGCTTGATTCTTGTCTTAATGATTCTGGATTTTTCCTATAAATGACAATTTCATTTCTTTTTCATGGCTGAGTAATATTCTGTTATTGGATATGTTTATCTGTTCATGGAGGGGAACTAGGCCAACTCCACATCATGGCTATTGTGAACAGATTCACAACACACACACACACACACGCAGGTGTCTCTTTTGTATGCTGATATGATTTCCTTTACATAAATGTGTTTAGACATTTCCTTTAGAGAGCTGGATCATTTCGAAGTTCTGTTCTTAGCTTTCTGAGGAATCTCCATATTGTTTTCCACAGTGGCTGTACTAATCTACATTCCCACCTGCAGTGGACGGTGTTCCTTCTTCCTCCACATCCTTACCAGCACTTAATATTTGTATTTTAGGGAGGGGTCTACAGGGTGTTCAGGGTCTCACTACTAGATCGGACTCGTAGTGATCCGCCTGCTTACAGCCTCCCAAGAGCTGGGATTGCAGGCACGGGCCACCACGCCCAGGCTCAGTTGCCGTCTCAGCACACCCTGGGGGCGGGGCCTGCATGGCAGCCCTGGGGATCAAACTCAGGACCCCTGTGCCTGCTTGCAGGCGCTTTAATCCACTGAGCTATTTGGCCGGCCCAATTTATTTTATTTATTTATTTTTTAGTAGCCATTCTGACTGGGGTGAGGTGGAATTTCAGTGTAGTGTTTTTTTCTTTTTTCAGTACTGGGGATCTAACTCAGGACCTTATGCTTGCTAGACAGGTACTTATGCTACTGAGCTGTCTCCCCAGCCCTTCAGTATAGTTTTGACTTGTGTTTCATTGCCACCCAAAGATAGCATTTTTCCAAGTATTTATTAAACATTTTAAAACTGGGATGAGGAAAAGGACAAAAGAAAGAAGGGAAAAAGATATATTTATGTACATATGCAGGATAATTTGGATAATTCTGCTGATTTCTGCTGGTCCTTTGAATCTTATGCTTTTTATGACAGATCAGTGCTAGCCATATCATTTTTATCTTGTAATATTCAACCTGCCCTCATCTGTGAGCTCAAGACTCCAGTGTTTAGCAGCTCACCTGGTAGCTCCGTGGGTCTGTCTGGAAGGTAGCTCCCACATCCCAAGTCTAAAGTAGAACTTGATTTTCCCAGTAAGTGATGAATTTCTCTCTAGCAGTCAACCATTTGCTTAATTTCTCAGATAGCCCAAAGCAATAAGCCCTCCTTTGTTTTTCTTCTCCTTCCACTAGTCCCAACCATATCCTAAATCTGACCAGCAGCCTTCTCCTGTCTCCTCCTGCACCCTCGCCTGAGCCAGAGGACAAACTAGAACACAGCACTCTGCTGGTTAGAGCCAGCCAGGACCTGGCCCGTGCCCCTCTCTGATCTTGCTCACTTCCCTCCAGACGCGCCGGCCTGTAGGTTCCTCAGGCACTCCAAGCTCATTCCTGACCCCAGGCCCACACGGGTCCAATTTCCTCTCCCTGGAACATGGTGGCCCCAGACTCTTGCCTGCCTAGCAACCTACTGACATTCAGTTCTCAGATCCCTTGTCCTGTCTTCTGACTCTTCCATCCATGTCCTATCTAACTTTTATTTTTGAAAGCCCTAAATGTGGTCAGACCCTTTTGATTTATTTGGTCATTTGTTTATTACTTATCTTTCCCCCACTCTAATTCCACTCCCCTAGAGTGGGATGTCCCTGTCCTTTTCACTGTGGAATCCCTAGCTGCTGGAACAGCACTACCCCATTGCTGGGGTGGATAAATAGTTGTGGAATGAGTGGATGGGGGCATGGGAGGCACCCAGACCTATGTGGAAAGCTCAGGCAGAGAAGGTCTGGAGTGGCTGCAAGAAGTGAGCTGGTGTTTCTAGCACCAACCTTTCCTGATCCAGACACTGTAAGGCCTGCATTGTACGATAGATCTGATGGCCACCAGTCTGTCCTGGAGACCAAAGGCAGTCATTGAAGGAACTGGCATCTGACCTAGCATTGAAAGGAGGCAAGGAAGTAAGAAAGGAAACCAAAGATAAGGTAATGAACAAGTGCAAACACACACAGGCGTAAGACTACACAGGTGGTGGGGGAGCTTGCAGGAGCTACCAGACTGCAAAGTGGAAGCAGAGGTGGTGGGTACAATGGCCTAAAAAGTGACTCTGGGCCAGGTCCCAAAAGGCCTTGCATGCTGCACTAAGGACCTGGCCTGCTTCTTCTGGATGCAGAACCCTTGGAAGCCTGGAGGCAGGGCATGACCCAGTCGGGTTTCCTTCTATATACATCATTTGGTTGCCCTGTAAGGACAAGATCTAAGAGTGGTTCATAAACCCTGCATATCAAAATCATCAGGGATTTTTTTTTATAGACTTGAACCCAGTATCCACTCTAGATCAATTAAATTAGATTCTCTGGGAATAAGAGAAGCCATCATTGTTTTTATTTTTTGATTTTTTAAGTATTCTTTATGGAAGTTAACATATACATGGAAATAAGTAGAAATCACTGGTGAGCAGCTGATTAATTTTGATAAAGCATATATATTAACACCCAAACCAATAAACATAATACCACCAGTATTCAAAAGCCAGTCCCTAACTTTATCTATCCATTCCCAGTAAAAGGGACCCACATGCTGATTCTAAAATTATACGGTAAATTGCTTTTGAATTTTTTTTTTTTCTTCAAGAACCGGAGCTTGAACTCAGGCCCTTGCGCTTGCCAGGGAAACGCTTATTCCACTGAGCTGTCTCCCCAGCCCCTGCTTTTGAATTTTGTCTGTTTTTTCATGTTATTGAAGTTTGCTGATTCTTGATGCATGAAGTATCCCATTGTATTGCTACCCAATGTTTTATCCATTCTGCTGTTGGTGGGGAGTTTGGGGGCTTCTAGTTTGGAGCTATTATGAACTATGGGATTTCTTGTAAGCATGTTTTTGTTTAAAAGAGAGGAAAAAACCCTATAAAAATGATACATAATTTCAAGACAAGATGATAGGAAAGTAACAGTGGCTATTACATTGCATATCGTTATCTTTAAAGTAGTTGATCAGATGACCAGACACAGGGGCCAGGGAGATGGCTCAGTGGAATAAGCACTTCCCTGGCAAGCCCAAGGGCCTGAGTTCAATCCCTGGTTCTACAGATGACCAGACACAGGCATGCAAAATTGATCAAACAACGTAAACCTAACTGTTCCTTTCAATGAATGGAAATTGGTGGCCCAATTTTCTTAGCTATCATGTTTGTATATACACACATCTTTGCCTCCTTCCTTCTTTTCTCTTTTCCGCCATCCCAGTTGTTTCTTCCTTATGAGAAGCTTCTTTCCCTTTCCTCATGTCTACTGTACATTTTGGGTCTTATTTGTTCTTTCAGTTTCTTACACTAGGGAGACAATATGTTTACACATATGAGTCTGATTTATTTCACTTATGAAGGTGGTCTCTAGTTAGAGCTTCATGTTAATCTGCCTTTATAGCTGAGTAGAGCTCCACTGGATCAAAACAGCACATCTTTTTTATCCATTCCACAGTTGATGGACATTTGTGTCTTTCGATGGAAAACATGTATAGCCTTCCAGCAGGATAATTGTTGGGTCTTGGTAAGTACATATGTTCACTATTGGTAGCCATGCTAAAGGGCTCTCAAGTGGTTTGGAAGTCACTGTCTTTAGAAGCCCCCAGGTGATTCTAATATGCAGCCCAAACAGAGTTGCTGTTGTAAGGGCTATAAATCTGGGGACAGGAGTGACAATTAGGAGATATAACTATTAGCTGGAGTAGGATTTTAGAGTAGGGAAAGCAGGCAGCAGTAGGGGAACAGATCTCAGAAAAAAGGAAAAGGTCTTTACAAGAAGAAAAAACAAGGCAAAGGAAGATAAAGACATCTGGCATTGCTGGTATTTCTGTCTTTGCCTGGGGACAGTCTCTGGAGAAGGTGGTGTGAGCTATTAAGAGAGGAGGAATAAGAAATGAAACAGCTTAAAGTGTATTTGCTGCTGCCCCAGTAGGGTACCCTGGGAACATCCGCCAAAGCCTGCAGACACTATGTCATCGGACTCAAATTGTGAGACATGAATTCACTGGCTATATATGTGTTTATCAGGTTGGGAGCAGAGGGGAGAGTGGCGATGTACCCAGGCCACGAGAAAAAAACGTGGACCACTGGACTCTCATCCCTGCTGTACCGCTGACCAGCTGTGCGATGCTGGGCAGTTTACTTTGCATGTTGGCACTTCAATCACAAAATGTTCCAGCTAGATGACCTCTCAGATGTATTCTAGCTCTAGCAGCCTATTATTTCTCTGATGTCATTCTAGGGGTGAAATTCCAGTAAGAAGGTGATTGAGAAAGTTGGCACAACGCTCTGTAGCCTTATGTCTGAGATGGCTTGGGCTGAAAACACTGCACTCTGCAGTCATTTCCCCAAATTATACAGCACAGGATGAGAAACTCTAGGATGACTCTTAGTTTTATTTTACTTTGTTTCTGTTACTTTTATATGTGGGGCAATGTTGAGACAACATCTGGGCAGTTTTGTCACCAATAGGGCTCTATGGTATTGTCTACCTTTTCTTTTCGTATCTACAGCTCTCCTTCCTATCTGTATGAAATAAAAACCTCCCAGCTATGAATGGGAAGAATTGTTAAACTGCTTTGGAACAGAACTGGTTGGAACTATACTGCAATTAATTCAGTATAAGGAGGAGGTGGAACCAGTGGAGTGTGTCATGTTTGAGTCATTGATGTGGCCAGAATCCCAAGAGACTTCTGGTGCGTCCCAACTTTAAGCAGGTGTAGAATTTCACCCAGATAGGAAGGCTGGAATATCTGGAAGAAAAGGCCAAGGGCTTGGCTTTCCTGGATCATCTTAGAATCTGTGGATTCCTCTGAGGTATTGGGGGTGAAATGGGACAGAAAATGTATTTCTACTCTTTGGGAGAATTTCACTGACTCACTCACTCTACTGGGTATTGAACCCAGGGCCTTTGCACTGAGTTATACATCCAGCCCTTTTAAACTTTTAAATTTAGAGACAAGGTCTTGCTAGGTTGCCAGTTCTCCCACCTCAGTGTCCCAGAGTTCTAAGATTACAGACATGTGTCACCACACACAGATTTGGGGGTAATTTTAAAAGGAATGGAGACATGTGATTTAGCCACTGAAGGACAACTTGACTTCAAAACAAACTCTATAAAAGAAACCTAACTATTCTCAAAAATTATATTTTGCAAGCTTTAATTTTAAAAAATACCATGGGGATATTTTGGTGGCAATTCAGAGTCCTGGGTGAAAGTATGTGATGGAAAATTTGAGAAGCGGGCAGATAGATGATGTCAACAGAAGGAAAACCCCAGGACAACACAAGCAGAGGAAAGCTGAGTCTGCAATTATATAAGCCAAGGATAAAACCTGCTCACATGCTGCTGGGAGAAGAGGTTGTTAGTGAGGAGGAGGCGGGGTAGCTAGGGAGAAAATCAACATTTGTGAGTCAGCTGAGGAAGATTCTGGACATTTGGTTGAACTGACAGGTGTGGGAATATTTGCACAGCAGTGGTTGGCAGAGACACCATAGGCTTGAAACTGCAGTAGAAGGAGCAGAAGCGTAGACTGTTTAGTCACCATGGGAGAAAGGAGGGAACATGCAGGTCAGCGTGGGGATCGGGTTACATGCTGCGCCTAGATCAAAGGAAGCTACTGGATTGGGAAGGTGCCTCATTTGGTCTGAGCAAGAGGATGCAGGTATTGGGGGCCAGCCAAGTTCTGCAAACACAGCTGATCATTCGCCACCTGTGGCCAGCCACAGAGGGCTGAGGTGAGGACAAGGCCAGGTGTCCTTGTGGACCCTGGGTGGTGTGCTTCTTTTACAAGGTTCCCTCCCCCCTCCCTGGAAAGGACTGGGAGAATGAGCTGTGTGGATCTTTCCCTTTTTCTGTCTAAAGAAATAATAGTTGGAAGCGTGAGATGGTAGCTCTGGAATGCTAATAGGGCTGACGTATGCTGAAAGCTAATTACTGCGTTGGCTGCTGTGTACACTGATCTCAACTGATATTCTGTATGGTTTTCACTGTTGCATAGATGTTAATACAGATGGCCGAAGAGAGCCAAGGTCATACAGGGAGGGCAGGAAGACTAGCATTTTTACTGAGTCTATCTGATTGCAGAGTTATCCTCTCGCAGTGCCTAGGCATGACTGGGAGCTGCATACACACGGGCAGATCCTGAAAATAGCACATCAGGACCAAGGAAGTATGCCACCACCATTGAGAGCTTTGGGGAGAAAGGAGTCATGTGAGTAGGTTTGTCAGTGTGGAAAACAATAGCCTCAGGTTGTCCCCCTTGACACGAGTCCACCAGCTCCTTAGTCACTCACCATGTTGTTCCAGAGCGCAATGGCCATCTCTGCATGACCCCGTTCTGAGAAGTGAAGACAGTCTTCAGAGAAGAAGGTGAGGTCAGTGCTCCCGAGCTGCGATCAGAGACAAGGTTACCATCCTCGCGGGGACCCCGCTCCTCTCTCCTCCCAGAAGGTGCTGCCTTGGGCTTTTCTTATCTTTTCTTTTCTTTCTTTCTATGTATTTAGTACAGGGTTTCATTATGCAGCTCAGACTTGCAGTGATCCTCCCATTTCAGCCTCCCCAGCGCTGAGATTTACAGGTGTGTGCCACCACGCCCGGTTTCAGTGGCTGGTGCAGCGTGCTCCGGGTGGGGCCAGCACAGCATGCGGTACTGGGGATTGAACCTGGGTCCTTGTACTTGCCAGGCAGGCGCTTAGACTGCAAGCTATCTCCTGACCCTAGCATTTCTCTTTGTCCTTTCAACTCTGCTGCCAACTGGTGGGAAACCTCCCCAATTTTATAACTTTTTTAAAAGTATATGAATTGTAGTTACCCACAGTCCATCTCTTTTCTGGCATGAAAGTTGAAAAACAATAATTATAATGTTGGGAATCTGTCCCTGCTATCCTAATCCAGCAAATCTGAGGGTGGCATGGTCACTATTGATTTTCTTTCTTTCTTTCTCTCCCTTTCCTTTTCTTTGTCTTTTTGAGACAGGGGTCTCATTATGCAGTTCAGGCTGGACTTTTTGCTCACTTTGTAGCACAGGCTTGTCTTGAACTCACAAAGATCCCCCTGCCTCAGCCTTCCCAGTGCTGGGATTATAGGTGTGTACCACCACCACAGCTAGCTACTATTGATTTTTTTTTTTTCTTTCCAGGCGTGTCTATATTCTAATCATAACAACAAGAAGGCAGATAAAGCAGTGCTTGGGAGCCCAGATGATGACGATAAACACAAAGCCCACTTAGACGAAGGAAATGCGCCCATCACCCAGGCTAGGTCTCCATCTGTAGCCTCCTTGCGATGCCGGCAGCTCACCTCATTGAGCGGGATGAGAGTGTTCTGGAAGAAAGGCTGCACCACAACTGCAAAGTCCTCGTGCTGCAGGTACTTGTGTTGGTAGGAGAATGTGGAGATGCCACTCTGGGGGTGGGACAGACTGCTTAGGATGGGATAGGGAGGGCCTACTCCTGCTGCCCTGGCTTGGTTGTGACTGCAGGCAACCCAGCCTAGTCAAAGGCGACTTAAAGGAACAACACTGGTGTGACCCACACTCACATTCCTCCTGCATACTTTCCTGAGTACATGCTTCCCAGGGGCTGTGCTGGCTGCCAGGGTCCGAGCTGAGCCCAGTGACCCTGCCTAGAGGAGCTCCCCACCCCTTCCATTCCAAGGCCCAGCCCCACCTCACTGCATACAGAGGCCAAATAGACCCAGCTTAAATGGGGAGCATCTCAGACCAGCCCCTGAAATGTCCATGCCCTTTGGTGGGTGAGAATTCATGGTTGTTGGATTTGTTTAGTGCCCAAGCATGGAGTGTAAATGAAGTACACTAGATCGACTTATCCTCAAGGAGTTTATCATCCATCTGGGAAAAGGAGACAAGATGTGGAAACATAAGAACAAGAGAGGGCCCTGAGGCCCATCACGTGCACACTGAACTTGATTTGGAGAGAACCTTTCCAGAGGAAGAAGGTTTGCTCCTGAATATCATTGGGTCGTGTCCAGAGTGGGTAGAATAGGAGCAGACACGCATGAGCAGGAGGGTGTTGGGGAAGGTGATAGTTAGGGCCTTACGGAAGGGAGAGTGGAAGGAAGTGAGGAGGTTGGAGGCAGGTGCAGCAGTTGCTGTCCCACCACCTCTGGGCACAGGTGTGGCCCATGCCACAGGTTCTGAGTGGAGTTGAACCCAGTGATTTGAGTATACCCTGGAGCTGGGTGTTGTATCTGCTCAGGGATGATGGGAAATTCTCCCAGCTTCCACTTTGGCATCTCTCCCTGCACTCTTCCCTGGCCTTGCTGCTCAGTTAACCTGGAAAAATATTTCGGGGGCTTCTGTCTTTTAGGGAGTGGCTTGCTATCAGTGAAGCCTGCTGAACACACAAGTTCTGAGTCCTCACTTGGGGCATGCATGAAGGACAGCAGAGGGTGGTGGGGCTCACCTGGAAGTTCCAGTTCACTTTCTTCAGTTCTTGGATCACTGGGGAGTTTGCAAAGTGTCTGAGGCAACTGCAGTTGTTCCTGGGAGAAAAGAACTCTGGTGGTGAGGCTCCGTGGGGCAGCCTGGCCCTGTCCTCATGGGAGGCTAACATGGGCCCACAGCCACCCACAAGTAGCCCAACACACACTTGCTGATGCTTGTACCCAGGAGGGCACTCAACTATGCTTGGTGGAAGACTCAGCACCTGACTGGGATCTCCTCAGGCATGGCTGCCCATTGTCTTTCTCCTTCCCATGCCTGTGGCCTCTGGGGTTTCTGAAGCTGGAAGGAGCTAGAGCCTCACTAAGACCACTATCTCTTCTGGTACAGAACCATTCCTCATCCTCCCAAGCCTCTTAGCTCTACCTCTGAGTGCTTATGACTCCACTACATGGAGGGCTCCTACATGGGCAGGCTCTTGGGGCACCAAAGAGGACCAACAAGCTTGACACAGCCCTGATGCAGTGGAACTGGATAGCAGCAGATTCTGAAGAGACATTTCACCGGGTGTGTGTGTGTGTGTGTCCCCAACAGCTGCATGAAGCAGGTGAGCATCTTCACATTCAATGCATTTGACTTCAAACAGGACTGCTCAGCCACCTGCAGAATCTCCTCCCCCATAGCAACACTCACACAAGTTCTGGGAGCCCCTCCAGCCTCAAGGGGGTATCTTCCTGCTAGCACCCCACTGATCTTTGTGTGTGTGTGTGTGTGTGTGTGTGTGTGGAACCGGGGATTGAACTCAGATCCTTGCGTTTGCCAGTCAAGCGCTTATCCTACTGAGCCATCTCCCCGGTCCCACCCCACTGATCTTTAAGGAACTCTAGTCCACCACAGGAACTCTTGCCTGGCCTCCAGTCCAGCTTTGACGCACAGAATAAAAGCTCCCATTTCCCAAGAGCCTGCAGCAAGATTTCCTGCCAGCATCCCATCTACCTCGAGAGGAAGCTTTCATCCCTATTTATGGGTGAGGCATAGAAGAGTTACACGGAATCTGTTCAAAGTCCTATCACTTTTCAACAGCAGAGCCAGCACTTGACAGTTGGAACTGTCATCTGTGCTCACTGTCCAATGCTGCCTTTCTGTGGAGGGACTCTCCGAGGTTGGACTTGGGAATCACAGAAATGATGAGCATTCAGGATCATTTGGTCTGTTTTGCTTGACAGAAAAAGCATAAATGAAGGGACTTACAGGCAGCAGGCATTCATTAAGGTAGAGGCCTCTGTTGAGTGACTAAGTTGGTGGCTGAGTACTCCCATCCACCCTCTGAATAGGCCCACCCAGCTCTCCTCGGGGCCCATTAACCCACCTCTCCCAAGTACCTCACTGCGACCTGCTCACTTACTGAGCTGCCAGCTGCACAGTGCATTGCCAGCTGTCGGGGCCCTGGTGCAGGCCAGCCAGCTCCATGACCCCCACCACATTGACAAGAGTCCTCGGGAGCTGCAAGAAATGGAGAGGTGGGCTTCACGAGTCCCTAGGCAGTTGTGGGGAGAGGTCACTAGTGCCCTCCTTTATCGTGTGAGAAACTGAGACAGAGACATCCCATTGCTGGTAAGCCACAGGGCCTGGCTGCAAACTGGCTGCTGTGAAGCCCAGTCTTGTGGCCAGTTAGAGTCACCTCTGTGGAAGAGCTAGGGGCTGAGGCCCTCCCCTGCCAATCAGGGGGCCACTCATGGTGGGGCTCTACTCCAGTGTCTCAAGAACACAACTTGCTAACCACACCCAGGGTGGGAGCCTTCCCCAAGGTGGGAGCACACATGTGGGCTGCTGCTTTTTCTACCTCTTCATAGAGGATGTCCAGGGCCTGTTGGATCTGCTGGACATACTCCTCGGCTGAGTGGTCCTCCTGTGAAGAGAAAAGGGGGCACTCTTCAGCCCCCAGGTTCTACTCTCGGGGAAACAAGAGCCCAGGCAGGCCTTGGGGTCTTGAGTAGAGAGAGAACAGAAGGAGTTGGGTGGTCCTGGCCTGTCCTTGTTGCTGTTGACCCAGAGTCCTACCCTGACCCCTGCTAGACACAATGTACAATTCCCACCCCTGCCCTAATTCACAGGATCTCAGACCCAATGCAGATTCTTACAATGCTGGATCAGACTCAAGCTTTTGTCTAGGCTAATCTGTCACCTGATGTTAGCCTTCTGTAGTCACTTATAGGGCCCCTGAGGACCACATTCTTTTTCCTTTAGGCTTTGACCCATGCTGGTCCCACTGCCTTGAATCCTTTGCTCTCTTTCATCCTCTTGACTTCTGTGCCCTATAACTCAGCCAAGAGTATCCTTCCTCTGACCCATCTCTCCAGCTTGAGGCTGATCAGAGGTGCCTTAAAGCACCTTGCAGAATATGTGTGGGGTATATGGGGTGTAGGGTAGGTGCTAAGCAAATTGCCCCGATGATTCTCAGGGCTTTGCTTTACCGAGGGAAGAAGACAGTCATAGTATTGTTTTAGATATGGTTGGGCTCCCGAGGAAGTGTCAAGGACACTGACCCAGAGCATGGGTACCGCCTGAAGTATTCATGCCAAGAGACAAATGTGTCTGCAGGAGGGAGGCACAGGGAAGCTGCACCGGGTCTCAGGGCAGGAGGTGGGAGCCCAGGACACCCATTATTTTTTTTTCTTGAGACAAAGAGCTGCATGTGCTGTGTGCTCAGTTCTGGCTTCCTGCTGGACACAAAAAGTGCTCTGCAGGTATCTGATCATGGGTGAGGTCCTACCCACAGCTACCAGAAATGGTGCTGAGATTCTGGGTTAAAGTAGAAGTAAGATGGCAATCAGAGCATGAGCTGGGAGATGTGTGTCTCCAAGAGCCTGCCACTTCTTCCTTCTTCAAACTTGGCCTGAGTGACCTGGTGGTGCCTTTGGGCCCTTGTTGTAAGTGCATACTCTCAGGAGTACAGACCTGCTGTTCACATGGGTGACAGGTGTGCTGGGGCTACAGGGCGCATTTCCCTACTGCAAGTGTCCATGGGTAGCTACAGGTCCTGTCTGGGTTCAAATTAACCTTGCAGCACAGGACACAGCAATATTTAAATCCCCGGGAGGCTGGATCCCTGCTGCCTTTCTAGTCTGGGCAGCCAGGGAGAGGACTCAGGGGAAGAGGCTTAAAAGTTTACTGGAATGCGTGTGTGTAAAACACAAGGAGCCATAAATGCCTCCTCCCCCACTCTGTAACTGTCAAACATTATACCAGCACCTGAGTCAAGGCAGCTGCCTTTTTCTGGCCAAAAAAAATATAGGATGTCCCCAACTTAAAACAAGATGTATTCCAAAAGTTAGAGCTTCCAAAAGCCTGTAAGTCTGGACATGTTTCCCTACAGAAATATTAGGAGCAGGGCTGTGTTCCCAGGCCAGCCAGCGGAGGCTGCTTAACTCATGACGGCCCTGGTGGGCTGTGAGCCACACTATGAGAACAGGCTCCCCTTTATCTGCCCCATTTATGAGATTGTTTTGCCCCTGCCAAAACAGGGGAGGGACTTTGAGGCAGGCACAGAATAGGGAATCACTGGTCACCTGTCTGGATACCAGGGATGAGTATTTGTGTGTCTCAGAGAGGGCACTTCTGCAGCAGTGCCAGCAGACTGGGTCCATCTAAGTCCTTCTAGAAATGGGGGCCACCTGGGCAGTAGGAAAGGCCCAGCCTCATCTACTGTGTACAAACCAGGGGCTGTCTGGGCCGATTCAGGGCCCAGGAGCCCAGGCAGGTGTGACTCCTGTGACAGAGGAACGTGAGTCAGGGTCAGGACCCTAGCCAAGAATAATGCCAGAGGTCACTAGCTGTGTTCTCTGGTTCCCAGGGGTGCTGCTTAGGGGCCTACCGGATCTTCGCAGTAATGACATAAGTCACTGCTGCCAATGAAGAGGGTGACCAGCTTCCAGTCCATCTCCAGGTTGATGTCCTGAGGGGGGAAGATCCCAAGTTTAGTCCTGCAGAGGGGCTCTGTGCAGGTGGCACTCACCAGGCTACCCAGCCAGCTCCTCAGGCAGCTTCCATTCCCTTTGCATCATAAAAGAGAAGGTGAAAGTGGGGTCTCCTACCCTCACAGTGCCAGGAGGAGGAAGCTTCACAGAGAAGTGGTAGTTGTGGGGTTCTATACCCACAGGGGATTGGGGCACTTTCCCTCTGCAGTGCATTTCCTGGAGCCCCTTACAGACCGAGAGGATAAGCAGCCTCCAAAAAGGAATCTAAGGCTTTCAGTGGAGCCAACAGAAAAGATGAAGCTGGAAGCCAGAGCCCAGAGTTGACTCTTAGCAGTGTCCTGTGGGCCTCAGTCAGGGGAGAGAAAGGAGGGGGAGCAGCTCACATGAACCCACAGGTGAGGTGGGGTTGGCCCGGACCCCCAGCCCTCTAGCAGTGGCTTCCAGCTCACCCACCACCCTAACAGGAGTTCTGCCAAGGAGCTCCATTCCAAGGCAGAAACATAGAGCATCTGAAAAATGTGTGACAAGAAGTTTCAGAGACCGGGAGGGCGAGCGGGAAGGAGCAAGGCTTGGAATGAGAAGCCTATTTTTAGCACCTTGTGTTTATATAACAGGACTCTGAGTAGAGGGGGGAGGCTGCTGGAGGCCAAAGCCATGATCCAGGCCAACTCTCTGCTCCTCCTCGCCTTCCCGTAGTTGGCTCTAGGGGCGTGGGGACCAGGGGAGCCCTTGTGGCTCCCATGTAGAGGTAAGCTGGGGCAGCAGGGCTGTCACAGGGCCCTGCCACCTCCCAGCAAGGATATCGTACCTTTTTGGGGTAGTTCAGGGTCAGTACTTACAGTGCTGGTTTTCATTCGCTGTACCAGGTCTCGGGCCTGGGCCGGCATGTCCCTAGGCAGGGAGAAGAAAAGGGACATCAGAGGTGCTCAGGAGAGGTCCAGCGTTGGACTTGGGTCTAGGAAGAGCGGCGCTTCAAGACAGTGTTCTGCCAAGGTTATTGCTCAGAACACATCGCTCTGCTGTCTGCTCTCCAGAATCCCAACCTGTCATGGATTGCGGGGTCACATTGGCCCAGACCCTGCTACCCATTATCTGTAGCCAGGGCTGAGGACTTGTTGGCCATTTGGGTTGGGACTGATCAACCTCCCTATCCTGGGTTTTCTCTGCTGTGTCCTCAGGCTTGGTCATTGCATGCTAACCCTGTTCCTTACTCAGTTGTCTATTTTAAAAGTAATGTCTGGACATTTTTTTAAGATTATGATACAGGGGCCGGGGAGATGGCTCAGAGGTATAAGTGCTTCCCTGGCAAG